CTGGCCGTGCCCTCAGCGAGGCCGGCTACATGAACGACGAGTGCGGCTTCTGGGACAGCATCATTCCAAAGTACGATGTCTCATGGAAAGGATACGCCGACAGAACCAGGCAGGCGCGCTATGGCGAGAGTGAGGGCGGCGAGTGCGGGTCGCTTCAGTGCCCCAGCGGCAGTGTGTGCGTCACGACGGCCAATGTGGATATGCCATCGCTGGGCGGAGGCAGCTGGGAAGAGTGGCTCGCAGATGACCCGGTAGGTAAACCAGCGAGTAGTGCACACAACACCCCACCACAACATGGCACGGGGTTGCACTCTGCGTGTCACTCACTGCTTGCTGTTGTTGTCAGATCCACGCCGCGAGGGCGCTGTCTCTGTTTTCCTCGGTGGTGCCCCGCTACTCGTGTGTGAGCGCCTCGAGCATGCACGTCGTGGCGCAGAGCGACCCCACGGACCTGACCTGGGCGGCCATGGGCTACAACATGACCCTCGTCTCGTCGCCCACCGATGAAGGCCAGGAGTTCCTTCAGCGTGCCATCAGCGAGGCCATGCAGCACTACCGGCCGACAGTGAGGATTGGCGAGATGGAAGTCGACCTTCGCGAGCAGGTGATGGCCACGCGGGGGGGAGGGGCCGGCCTGAGGGTGCTGGGCAACCTGGCGGCCGTCGCCAGCAGGAAGGTCGCCGTGGCTAAGAGTTACATCGATGGCCTCTAGGCGTTGATTGGCGAGTGTGTATGTGTATGTGTGTGCTGGTCTTTTGGCATTTTTTCTTACTGGTCTGTCTGTGTCTGTGTCTGTGTGTGCACATACGTAAGCGAAACATGTCACGTACACCTGCACGCAGCACACACAGCCCGGACAACTCACTCACCTCACTCCATTCATTCATTCACCCGCTGGCTCACACGTGGATAGCAGTAGATAGATGGGAATTGCATGGAATGGAATGGACGTCGCCGACGTGTCGGTCGACGGCAGACAGGGTGTGGTGTGTGTATACGAGCCGTCAGGCTTCTTGTTGGACAATTCAAGGGGACCGGACGGATGACCTGACTGACTGACTGCATTACTGATGCAATGTATCCGTCCATGTGTGTCGCTTTCAGGCAAGAAAAAGTGCCCTTAGGCGTCCAATTCAGACAGACAGTGCAAGTTGTGTGCCGCTGTTTGTTGATGTATGTGCATTCACAGAGCTGCCTTGAGTTCCTCACTATGCCATGTCGTTGTGTTGTGTGGCTTCACTGACAATCAGTGTGATCATCTGTTTTCACCAAGAGAGAGAGAGGGGAGGGAGAAGCTGTGGTGTCCACACTCTTACACAAATGGTGTATCAGCTTTCTTTTTCACGATGCCGAACCGACTTTCTTCTGGCGCATTCGTTTCTGTCTGCCAAGTCCACACACACGGCACACATGTACTCTTCTATGTTCGTTCTGTGGCACTCACTTGCGGCAATCGGTCCAGTCGGTCAGGCGGCTGTGTGCGTGTTGCGTTGTGTTTCGGTGTTTGCATGTGCCGAAAAGGGGCGCGCTGCAAGCCAAGCCGATCTCTCACGACGTACGTGCAGCTAGGCTGGCCAGGGAATGGGGGTGGGGTGGGGGGGCAATCAATCCGTGCACAGTGTCAGCGAGCGATCCATCCATCCATCCATCCATCCATCATCGCTTGCTTTCATACCTGGTAAGGGCGGCATTCGTGTCTCGGTCTGTCGGTCTCTCTGTCTCTCTTCTGTCTGTCTGTGTGTCTGTCTGTCTGTCCGTCCGTCGTGACACATCGTCAAAAACAGACGGACGGTGTTGTGTGGATGATGATACCGGCTCGCCTCATGACGAAGCGGAACGTGATGCATGATGCAGGGTGCCGTCGTAGCGAGTCGTGGCGGTCTTTCACGGCACAACGACGCTGGATGTATTTGTGACTTTGTGCGGTGCCTGCATTACTCAGTCAGTCAGTCAGTCAGTCGATGACGGACGAATGAACGAATGGAGGGATGGATGGATGGAACAGCACAATGAGTGTATTTGTTACTGTTCGTGTTGCCACCTACCTCCCTGGCAGTCAACATTGCATCACACACATGCAAGGGCACACCGGTCTAACGGACAATTCATCCTCGCATCCACATAAAACAGACATACACACAGGTTTTTTGGTTCTGCATCGAGACTACAGTTATCCTCTATGCAGGCAGGCATCTCAACAAGCCGCACCGCAACACAAGATACTTACGACACACCAAACCACCTTCCTCACTCGGACGCCCATTTAGTTAGAGCGGAAGAAGCCTCTGTCTGTCTGTGTCTGCCAAGTCCCAGTGAGTCGGTCAGTGAGCGGCCGGGGAGCGATTGGCCGTTCGACCGGCCCATCCACTCGTCGACCAGGAAAACTCGCAGCCTCACCCACACACCGGGCAGGCAGGCAGGCAGGCAGAGAGAGAGGGGGGTGACGTGGCAACACGCACGGGAAAGAAGACAGCAAGACGGGAGAGAGGGAGGGACCTACATCACGGCCGGGGTTGCTACGGTCACTGTTGACCCACAGCACCACCTTGTCTACCACCCCCGCTTGATCAGGCCTCCCTCCTGGTGAGACCCACCCGTCCTTCCGGGCACCTGGAGTAATCCGCTACACTGTCACGCCAACAGAGTAATGCGACACCTACAGAAATCAACGCAGCACGCCACACGAGGAATGAGATGACGGGACGGTCACACCTACTCTCTCTCCCTCACAACCTACAGCACCCCTCCCTCCCCCCCATCCATCCTCACCAGTATTTCGTCATCGAATAGATCTATCCCAGCATACGCTGATCCAGCCCATAGCTGCCCAGCAGAGGGCGGGCGGCCGCCACAGTTGCAACGTGTCTGCCCTTTGTCGGCGCCTCGGTCGTCCAGAGGCGGATGTGGCCATCGAACAGCCACAGGTGGACCGCAGTGGTGTCGTTGGCTGCGGTGCCCTTGAGAATGATAAATCGTCGGCGGCCGTCGTCTCCCGGGGCGAATGGATCCTCATCGATGTAGTCGACGGTCTTGTAGCCCTCGATGGACGGTGCCGTCAGCAGGGACCGATAGCGAGTGTCGTCACGACCGACACGAGCTATTCCCAGTGGCTTCCTCACCACCCACTTTTGGTAACACCACTGTATCAGAACCGTTCGCTTGATGAATGCCGTGAATGATGGATAGAGAAGATGGCCCCAGCGGATGACGGGGTCGCTCTCCTTGTATGTGCCGCGGTAGGGATGGTCGGCCGGCAGCTCACTCTGCGGCACCACACGAAACGAATGATCGCCGATCCGATAGGCACCGTTGTCAGCTCGCTGCAGCGCCAGGCTGGTCCCCCGGTGGCTGAGCAAGTGGCCGAATGTCTTGTAGGCGGTCATTGTGAGGGGCAGCTCATCGAATGCTGAAGTGGTGGGCAGCGAATCGGCCGACAGCATGAGGGGCCGCGTCGCATTGGGGGTGAGCTGGTGGATGAAGACCAGGGGGATGAAGGCCTTGATCATCTTCCAGTGGCCGCTGCATCGCTTCAGCACATGGGCCGTCCTGAGGGCCCCGACCACGTCAGGAATGTCGAAGGCCAAGAGGTCATGAAGGATCTCCTCATGTATGGCCCGCTCGATGCGCTGCTGCAGGACGACCGGCAGGGTGACGCCTCTGGGGATCTCTGTGGGCGGCTGCTTGTCGATCTGTGTGACGAGTGCCGGCCGCCTGGTGGGGTCATCGAGTGTGTGTGAGGCCGTCGTGAGTGAGAGGCCCACAGAGAGGGAACGGAGTCAGACGCCATCAGTGAGTGATATCTGCAGAACGAACGACACAGAGTAGCATGCAGACGGGATGTATGAGAGCGCCTTGTTTGCCTCCTCCCTCCCCTCCCTACGTGTGCTGGTCGAACACAGGACTCACGAGATCTGTGGAGATGGAAAGACAGGCATGACATACATGTACACGACAGAATCAGACCACTTTCCTTCCTCGCTCACCCTCCTCCCCCCACCGATGATGCCGCACTGCTTGCGCAAGGGGCGTGACGCGAGCTTAAACGGCTCTTCCGGCCGTCCCTCGTCGTCTGTCAACGCACCGCGCCCCTCCCCTCATTCATCTCACGTGATTTCATCATGAGTGGCCCGGCCCCCTCCGGCTCCCCTCTGGCTGCCGCCTTCGCCCAGGCCGCCAGCCCCCCAGCGGGGCAGCCTGTCAGTGTGCGGGACGCACTCGGACAGCAGCAACAAGGTGAAGCAGACGACAGGGGCGGGGTAGGGGAGAAAGGGGCAAGGACACACGCACGTCGAGGGAAGGGCTGTTTGTGGGGGAAATCAAGTGGAAATGGGGCTGAGGGCTGAGGGGCTCTGTGTTATGTCGTCCTATGTGGCGTTTATCGCATGCAGGAGGTGAGGGCGAGATGACACAGTCCCAGCTGGTCCGCCTGGGCCGCACAACCACACCAGCCGGACAAGTGCAGACCGGCACACGACGAGTGAGTCGGTGAACAGCAGGGGGACAAGGGGACAGGGCAAGACATTCATGAGCAGGCCGCAGGATTGTGTTGTGTGTGTTCTGCCAATATAGGTTGAGGTGGAGGTGCCCGTCTACAGCGATGTGCACTACGAGGACGTCGTGGCCGAGCGTCAGGTGCCCGTGTACACGCAGAAGATCGTCCCCAAGCCCGAGGTCCACGAGGTCGTCCGCCAGGTGCCGGAGCTCAGCCACTCCTGGATCGAGCGCAAAGTCGAGGTGCCCGTCATCCAGCAGGTCGACAGAGTCGTCGAGGTTTGCCAGCCACACAACGCACAAACACAAAGAGGGAGAGTGACGGACGGAGGCACGCCGTCCATGTGGGTGTGAGAAATCAGGTGCCACAGGTGCAGGTGGTCAACAAGTATGTGCCCAAAGTCGAAGTCAAAACCATCGTAAGCCTCACACACACAAAGGAATGGAGAGAGACACGGCCCATTAATCCGTGTCTCTCCTGCCCTCCCTCTCTGTGTGTGTCTCTGCTGTTGATGTAGGAGCGTGTAGTGCCCAAGACGGTGGTCAAGACGGTCGAGCGCATCCAGGAGGTCCCCGTCGTCGAATACAAAGACAAAGTCGTCGAGGTTAACCAACACAGCATAGCACACTCACCCACCCCCCCCCCGGCCCCGACAC